ATAAATGACTAGTACATGTTTGCAGAAATGATACCTAAACTTTAGGGGTAAATGCATGAATCTCGTATTATAAGAAGCAAAAGCAGCTCTTTATTACTAACTTTACTGCCATTTTATTAGTTAATTATTCATGGCATTTCAACAAGCTACATGGCCCTGCACCTTAATAAAACTATATTGTACGTGTATTTTGAAAATGTATTGACATAATTATCAATGTCAAGTTAAATGAAATATATTTCGATGGCTTGAACAATAAACCTAAATTAAATTAGACATATAGTCAACATAATATTTATAGAAATGGCAGTGGTATTCAAATATTCAATCAATTTACCAACCCTAACAATTATTGGGCAAAATAATTAAGATATATACTCTTCTTTTATACACAGCAGAGATGCTTCTTAGAAAGAAACAATAAGAGTGAAATGCATTATCTGTAGAGGGAATCCAATGAAAACTATCTAACTTTGAAAAATGCATAAACATCACAAGTTGGTAATATCCTCGTATAAACAATAATCAGATTATGGCTCCAAATTGTACAAGGTCTCGAAAAGAAAATTAATAAAAAAGAAGTAAAATGAAAAGGCAATCACACATGCAAAAGTACAGAGATGAAATTTTTTCTTTATTTTTTTCACCAATAGAGATGAAAATGTAATTGCTGAAAACGANTTCATCAATAGAGATGAAAATGTAATTGTTGAAAAACGACTAGAGGATATTAAGTGAAGAATACATTCAGTCTAGGTGAGGAAATGTGTGTTAATGATTGGTATTCAATGGTTATGTTCTCTATGTTAGAGCAAAAACTGAAAAATGTAACTACAATAGCCCATAACATTCATATGCCAAAACATCCAAAAATTCTCAATAATAGCATATGCAAACAGCATAACATTCAAATCAAAGGCACAAATTCTAAAAGCATATAAGTTTTGGTTCATAATGACACTGACCTGATAGTAGGGGCAGAATCACATGCAGAATCACATTGCACCAACTTATGATGCATGATTCAAGACGAAGATTCTGCTTCCCGGTTTGAAGTTGACCCAGTTTGGAAGTGCACCGGACGTGCGCCACTCAAGCAAGGACCTGAGATCCATGGGCTGAACAAACAAACACATATAAGATAGGCAACCAAAATAACCTTTCCAGCACGATCAATTAATTAACATTCTCGGTCATTTCCCTGGCCATGGATTCTAAATAAAATTACATAGATGAGCCTAAATTGCACCTGCCGACAAATAGTAAACCCCAATTACACCCCTCCCACATGACAAGATGATCAAAAACACTATTCTGAATCTAAGATCTCGATCAGATTCAGAAGCATATCACACACAGCAGAAGAAATTTCTTTGAGGCATTACAAATACAGTACAAGAGAACACTACACACGGCATATCACATCATAGACGCTTGAGACGTTAATCAGCAAAAATAAAGAACCTTCTGGAAATAAAAGAAAATTTAAAGAATAAAGCTAATGAGGACTCCACTGTAATGTATATCGTAAATATTATAACAACCAATGCATCTTAAAGATCAAACAGGTTCATAAAAATAGCAACAAGAATGACATAGCCAGTAAAAGAATATTCAAATGCAAACATATGGGGACATTGCTAAGTACATTCCAGATAGTGACCAAGAATTAGAAACACCAATTTCTGTATCTCATCTCAACAAATTCCTATAAAACATATTATTACAAATGTAAGAGAAGTAAAAGAAAAGATGAAGTTACCCTGGTAATCTCATAATTGTTCCATCCAACTTCTGATGAGAGTTTGCCCAACAGGCAATATTTGTGCCCAACCTGAAGCCTCAGCACCTTCAACCGTGCTCTACCGTGCAAGAGCAGCTTCTCCGCACTTAGTCTTGTGAGGGATCATTCTAACAAATATATATAATATAACGGCATGATTGGTAGGAAGGAATGACATGGGAATGGAATGATCATTTCCTTACTCATTCCTTCATTCCTTATCCAATGATTGGTATATTTTTTGGGAAGGAATGACCATTCTAATGGGAATGGCAAAACTCATCTCCATGGTATTAGCCATTCCATAGTAAATTGAAGGTTTTCTCATTCTCATGTGTGTAGGAATCAATTTTTCATAAAATAAAATGAACAAATAATAATAAAAAATAAATATATAATATATATTATAATCATGATTAAAATATATTAAACAAAATTATTTTTTAAGAAAAATAAAAAAATTAAAAACTTACTTTTATTTAAGAATGTATTATTTTTTATATAATTTAAAAATATATTATTTTATTTTTATATATTATTAAAAAAATATTTATATATATTTTATTAAAAGTATATTATGTTTTAAAAAAAGCTTTTATTTATTTTTATAAGAAAAATGATAATGTCATTCCATTCAAGTCTTATTTCTTCTGCATACCAAACGCATCAATGACAAAACTTGTTTCATTCCATTCCCATAACCATTTCATTCCTCAATTCATTTCATTCCTACGAAATTCCATTCCATTATACCAATCATGCCAAAAAAATGCAACCAATTTAGACATTCTCTTCGGAAGGCCGCATAAACAGTTTATCTTCTAAGTTTTCTAGAAAAACGATCATGAATAACCTGAGTAAATAATGTATCTTAACTAAATGATTTTTGAAATCAACAACAAGAGAAATAAAATAAATAATAAAGTCGATGCACGTAAAATATGTGAGTTTAAACTAATAGTGTTTGGATCTCTCAAGTAATTGACAAAATTAAAATATGATCACATAGATGCTTAATAAATCTTATATTGTAACAAGATTATATAATCTTTAAGTTAATCTCACATGTAATTTTGAATTACAATCATAGGGGTATTTATAGATGTAAGAATTTATTTCAAGATGAATTTATTAGTAAAAAAAAGGACACCTTTTCACGAATGTGTCCGGTCGAAAACTGATGTAACCGGCTGAGCCGGCAGCTTTCACCTTGTGAGTCTGCTTTCTAATACCAAGAGAGCGTTCGTTCTCGAATTTGAAGTATAAAAAACTCAAATCTAATTTTCCTAATTTTTTAACTTAGGAAAAAAGCCTGAATACAGTCCCAATTCATGAAGTGCATTATTTCACCACCATATGAAAATTGAAAGCAACAAAACTTATTGGATTATAAAACTTCTTCCTTACACCATGTTAACAACGTTTGTTCATCTTATTAGTGTTTCTTTTGTTTGAACCATTTCATTCTCCTCTTGATATAACTGAATAAAAACCTAGGATTGAAGCCAAACAAAGGCTACATTAACAGAGGAGGAATACTCTGCTCGTTCCAGAAAAGATTTTCCGAATCCACTCGAGCTTTCGCGCGTGCCAACCGTTCGAAATTATTCCCGAAATACTTAACCCCCCATACTCTCGCCTGCTCGTAGCTCGTGTTCCTCCCTTGCATATTCAACCCCAAATCGAGATCTCTATAGTTAATATATGCCGCCCTCGGCATTTTCGTCCACACGTACGCACCCATGTACCCGTAAAAACTTCTTATCCACTCCACGTGTCTCTCCATCCCCTCATATCCTCCTCCATACCAGTTGGCACCGTATCGTATCATAAACGAGCATCCCGACCAATAAGGGCTTGTTCGAGTCGAGCCTTCTTCGCTCAAAACCCCTCCGCACGGGCTTAATTCCACGGTTCCCCAGTTTTCGTCCTCTTTGTGTAGAAATCGCCACATTCCTTGCAAACCTCTCGTCGATATTCCCCAAGCCCCCGCGTAGTCGGACTTCCCTTTGTAAAAGGATGTCGTAAACGGGCCACGCGGGTCACGGAACTTCAAAACATCGATCGACTCGTTTTGTAAGCCCGCGAAGTAGAGCACGGACTCTATCCAACTCATCTCCTCGAAATCGGCCTCCGTTAGCCCGAGCTCGGGGAACTCGCTCCGCATCGTGTGAGAGAGGTCGCGGGCGCGCCCGAGGAAAAGCGCGGTGAACGATGCCACGGAAGTTCGGTTGTCGATGGAATTTCCAGTGCTTCGAAGGGTTACCCTGAGCATGGGATTGTAAACAAATCAGACAATTTCGATTCGATTCGTGGGTCGAATTCGAATAAGAATAGTGTTTAGTATTCAGAATTTATTCAAATCTAAATATTCGATTTGGTAACAATAATTATATATAGTTTAATATATTATAAGATATTATTTGTATAATATGTATAAATATAAGACACAAAAAAATATATTTATATTTAAGAAGTTAAATTTAATTTATTTAAAAAATATATTTTTATTTCAAAATGTATAAATATGTTTATAAATAATTTATGAAATCAAATTTCGAATCGAATACTATTCACAAATTAAATTCGTTATCGAATCGAATGCGAATATGAATAATCGGATATTTTCACGAATTCGAGTCGAATAATTGAGTATTCACTTTTATTCGATTCGTTTAAAACCCTACCTACCTGAACACGAGGCTCTCGTTGGCTGTGGCGGCCACGCGTTGCCACTTGCGCACCAACCTAGTAGTCGCGTTGTTCTTCGGTTTCGAAGTCCGCATGATTGTAAACACTGTCACGGTTTTTGGAACGACAACGAGCTTCACTTTGAAGGCGGTGACGATGCCGAAGCTCGTGCCTCCACCGCCTCGAAGGGCCCAAAATAGCTCCTCCGGCATCGACCGACGGTCAGAAATCTCGCCGTCTGCACCGATTAGTCGAGCGTCGACCACATTGTCGGACGCGAGGCCATACTTCCGAGTGAGCATTCCGTAGCCCCCTCCGGAAATGTTGCCCCCGACCCCCACAGAGGGGCAAATGCCCCCCGAGAAAGCTAGGGTTTTGCTCTCTCGGGCGATGGCGTAATACATCTGGCCGAGGGTTGCGCCAGCCTGGACCCACGCGGTTCGAGCTTTCGGGTCGACTGTTACCGAGTCGAGGTTCCTCAAGTCGAGCATGACAAAAGGGGTTTTGGAAGTGTAGGAGAGGCCTTCGTAGTCGTGGTCACCGGCTCGGGCTCGGAGTTGAGTTCCGAGCTTTCGGGAGCAACGGACGACGGCTTGAGTTTCCGTCTCGTTTTGTGGTGTGATGATTAGGAAGGGCTTGAGTGGGGAGATTAGGCCGGGTCGGAGGTTTTGCGGTCGGAGGAGAAACTCATACGCCGACTTGTTTTGCGGCGTGATGATAATCGAGTTTGGTGATGATGATGAAGGTGAGTTTTTTCTTTTTAATTCATATATGAGACATTTGTGGAAACAACTAATGTTGTGGGGAGAAGATGATGTTGATGAAGCTAGTGATAGTTGTAAAAGGAGTGCAGAAAATAAGAGCATTATTAGGATAGGAGTATGAGGAAAATCCATTTGGTTTTACTTTTCTAGAGGACTTAAGTCCGAAACTGTGAATTATTCTAATATATATGGCTAGAATAAGTCCATGTTTTCAAATGTTCATCGCTTTCATAATGATGAGGCATGATTTGGTAGAAGGATAGTTTTTCTCGGCTGTTGATGGGTAAAAATTGTAGCTCCTAAGCGAAAACGATTTGGCTTTTGATCTAGATAATCTTGTTTTGATCCAAGTTCATGCATAAGGAGAAGAAAATTCATTTTAGTATCTCAACTTGTTAACTAGCATCATTATCTACGTTGCACCCGATATAAAAAATGACCCCTAAAATGTGTTTTTTGTACTAATGGATAGATTGTTGTTGGTCAAATAAAAAATTATCTTTAAAAAAAACACTATTTTAATGGGAAACATAAATAATGTGAAAATGAGTATTTTTGGATTACAAAAATAATTTCATTATTGTTAGCTAATAAATTATAATTAAATTTTGTTCGTGGCGAAAAACTATCATCAGAAAAGTATAATATTTGTTGTAGGCTTGTAGCAAGAGGATCAAAATTAATAAAAGTTGCAATTAAGTGTACTAAAACTGGAGTTGATACAACTTTATATACTTAAATTGGAAAAATGGTAATGTTGTTGCATGATTTTCAAAACGAAAAAATATGTTAAGATAACTGAAATTCTACTGAAAATTGAAATCATCCAAAAAATATGTTCATNAAGTGTATTTATGATATTCCTTGCATTTTGTATATTGTTAACAACGAATGTAATTGTAATTACCATTAAAAGTGATCAGCATAGACGTCAGTTAAAAATATTTTAAAAATGCTAACGGTGAAGAGAGTCATTAAGTTTTGCTTGTTGTCATGGTGGTGAGATGATCACGATGATGCAGATGATGATGTACAGAAAAATAAGAGCAATGAAAATCCATTTTCTCATCTGGAAAATTTAATCCTAATTGAGATTTTAATGTGGAATATAAGTATACAAAGGAATTAATGTGTTGTTGTCAAATGTGGTTTTTTTTTTTCAATCTCTTTCATAATAATGAATCATGATTTCGTAGCAGGAATTTTTCTAAGTAGCTAGCTCCATAAAGTAAAGATTTTGTTATGGTCTTTAATCTTGTTAATTATGATCTAATTCAAATTTGATATTGTCTGAAATTTCATCAGGTTGTAACTAGCATTATCATCATCTCCTGACTTAATTTCTGGACCTATTGAGTGATTGGTCGATAAAAGTGTTTGCATTTAATCATCTAATGCTACAAGTGTGAACGTTTAATTCCCCGCATTTATGCATTTTTCGACTTATTTGATATTATTATCAACTCTCGTGCCTTGATGAATTTTTGAGTGATTTTCAGTACTTTTGGAGCTATTTTTGTTGCACGAAGAGGTGTGGATGTTCGGAAGAAGGACGAAGTAGTGTTATCAGCGAGTACGGGGTCGTCCCGTACTGACCCAGCTATCCCCGTACTGACCATCAGCGGCCCATATTGTCTCAATAGGCCCATGCATTTCACGTGCTGGGAAATTAATATGATTGGGCCCAGATATTTTATATTGAAATAGTGGCCTAATAATGAGAAGAGGAGGATTACTTTGACCAGGAATACAAAAAGGAAAGACGTGGCAAAAAAAATAAGGGATATATATTAGGTGACTTTGGCTGCGTGAGGAAGGAATTCATACTTTGACCTGGGAACACATTATTGCGGCTGCGAGGAGAGAAAGGACAGAGGCTGGAACATATCGCGATTCACAGCAATCTGAACAGAGACATTGGAAATTAGAGAAGAACATTATTTCTCTTTTCTCTTTTTCTTTCTTGTGTAATTAATTTTATGAATATGTTTATGAACGCTATGAACGAGTAGTTTCATTTATTCTAGTCCCGGGGAAATCGAACCCTATGATTGACTATGTTTTGATTAATTTATATGGTTGATGAATTCAATATCTTTTTGGAATTGCTTGTGTTATTTTGAATCATTCACCATGATGTGTTAGTCTTGTTTAGATTGATCACCTAGATTAGACTTTTCATATCTACATCTGAATTAGGCCTGCAATCCGTAATTGTTGTTGTGTTTAATTCATAAGAGGTAACCGGAAGATGGTAACTACCGGGGATAACACGGCCTAATTAAGTGAACGAACGCAGTTGAGTTCACTAATTAGTCTAGCCTATTTTTCTAAATCGTAAAGCGGCTAATTATATTAAATCTTGAAAACGTTTTTCTGGACTGTACAAAAAGTCAGGTTTAATCATCGAGCGTCTCGTGGTTAAATTAAAAATAAGGAAAAATTCGGGTAACAGACCGTGTCGTTACCTAGGGCTAGTAATTCCATGAGATAGCGAAATCTGATTCTAAAATTGATTAGACGAGTCAATCGAGGGTGTAGACGGAACCGTGGACTAGATGTTTCCCCATTTATTTGATAATCATCTTTATTTGCTGCATTTGATTTCATTATATTATTCATATTTTTAGTAGTTAATTAATTCATACCTAAACCCCCTTCTTTTATTAATATTTTCGTGATTTCAATTAAAGAGAATAATTACAATTAAATTCCACTCCCTGTGGGTTCGACCCTTACTCGCCACTACTACTAGTTGGTAGAAGTCGGTTAAGGAAAATATAAATTTTAATTTTACCGCGTTGCGACGCGCGGTCATTGAGCTAGCACCTAGTGTTCTAAAACAAAATGATTCATAATTTTTTCATATACTATAGTTAATTTTCACGTAATTCTGCAAAAAAAAAAAATGAACGTAGAAATAAATATCCGATCGAGTTCATCCATTATATTGCAGTACTATAAGCAGTGAGATTGGTTAAATTAATTACTAGAAATTTTATTTAGGCAACATCTATATGGGAAAAAAATAAGACAAAATTTTCCTATCGGTGAGAATACTGCGTTGGATCAGCAAACAATATCGATAGGAAAGTGTACAATTTCAATCTATAATTGATTCTAATGTTCTTTTCAGGAAAGAGCTTCAAAGATTTACAATGATTTCATTTTTGGAATTTTATTCAGATGCAAAGTGCCTGTTAAGATTTCATGTCTTTGAAAAATTTTCTTCTTTATTTATCTTGCCTTATTCTACGGGCCGGGTTGTGAGAAAATAGTAATACTTGTAAGTAAATTATGTTTAATGATTCATTAATATGGTATATATTCTCTTTCAAACTCACATATACATATAGTGATCTTAAATTGGCCAAAACTATAGGGCCGATCAATTTAGCATTAGAAAAACTAGGTTAGGTCTTATATTTTTCGATCCATTTCAATTACCTTTTTTGGGCTGAATCCGTAAGGCTTGGAGGTTAATGGATTAGTCCTCTAGCCCATTTATAATAATATTTTATAATACATATTTTTATTTTATTACAATAAAATTATTTTTTCACTTATTTTTGTCTTTATACAATATTCAAATGTTTAATGTTTATCTAATTTTTTTAATATTCGTTATTAAACTCTGTAATAGTTTTAAAAAATGTAATGGAACGTCTATCTTTTGGGTATATATAGAGAGAAACATTTAATATATGTCAATACAATTGGATAAAATTTTTAATTTTATTTTATTAATGAAATATAATAAAAAAATATGAATATATATATACATATATATATATATTTACAATTAAATTGTTGTATGTTTCAATCAAAAATTTTTGCATCTAAATTTATAATATTTGAAATTTTGATAAAAATTCCTTTAAGTAGTCAATTTAAATCGAGACTCTTTTTAGCTTGAAGCCCATTATGTCATTAATTCATATATCAAACCGAATTCGAAAGTAATGTACATACTATTATGTATAAAAAATTAAAAATAACAAGCACACTTACATACATGAAGGATATCAATTACAACAAACATGGCGGATTAACCATATATAAATTACCCGCGTCTTTTATTCTACAGTTCATAACTAAATCAAATTGCTTGCATGTGATGCAACATTTTTATTCAATGGGTGCAATAACACATAAGATAAGTAGGTGACAATATTGCTTTTTCTCTAGCGTACACTCACCGGAGGAATGCTTTGCTCGTTTCTGAAAAAGTTTGACGGGTCGAACTTAGACTTTATACGAACCAGCCGATCAAAGTTCCTCTTGAAGTATCTCCGGCCCCACACACTAGCTTGCTCGTAGCTCGTGTTTCTCGGGTTGTTTGATCCCAAGTCGAGATCCTTGTAGTTAAAATAAGCCAAACGAGGCGAATTTGTGACATAAGGAGCCATGTAAGTGTACAATCGTCTAATCCAGTCGAGGTGCCTCTGCAACTCTTCATTTCCGGGTCTTATCCAAGTTACCATGTAATGGATCATGAATATGTTGCCGGATCGGTGTGGGAAAGGGGTTTCGGATTCCGAAAGATCATCCATAGCTCCTCCATAAGGGCTAAATTGCACTTCGGCCATATCTTCGGCTTCATCGTGTAGAAACCTCCATATCCCTCTTAGGCCGTTTATAGGGATCGGTTGCGTCACGAAGTCCGATTTGGCCTTCCTGTAAAATATGGCCCGCGGTGTTCGGCTCAACAAGACATCGAGAGGCTGACCGTAAAGACCTTGGAAATAGAGTAGTGACTCAATCCAACTCATTTCAATGTAGTCCCGTTTGACTAGACCCAGCTCTGGAAACTCGTTCTGCATCATGGGCAGAAGGTCGCTGACTGGGCCGAGGTACAATGCGAAGAAAATAGCATTAATAGTTATGTTTTGGCCGGTCGTGGAACGCACGCTTCTCAATGATAGCCTAATCAAGAGATTCCTGTCGACTTTATGGGCGACGTATTGCCATCTATGAACTAATTGGGTCGCGTTCTCTTCTAACGTTCTTGTGACGTTGAATACTGTCACAGTTTCTGGAACGGCGACTATATTTACTTTGAAAGAGACGATAATTCCGAAACTAACGCCACCTCCTCCCCTAACGGCCCAGAAGAGATCATCTCCCATAGACTCGCGATTGAGAATTCTGCCGTCGGCATCGATTAATATGGCATCGACGATCTGGTCGGCCGCGATAGAGTGCCTACGGGACATCATACCGTAGCCTCCTCCACTGAAGAGGCCACCCACGCCCACCGTCGGGCATACGCCGGCCGAGACAGCAATGGTTTTGCTCCTCAGGGCAAGCGTGTGGTAGAGTTGCCCTAGAGTGGCGCCCACCTGTACCCACGCAGTTTTCTCGTCGTCGTCGATCCATACGGATCGAAAATTTCTCATGTCGAGGACGACGAAAGGGTTTGATCGGGAGGTGTAGGAAAGCCCCTCGTAGTCGTGACCGCCGCTCCGAACCCTAATCTGCATGCCGACTTTCTTGGAACAAAAGATCGCAGCCTGAATTTCAGATTCGTGGAAAGGGGTGATTATGAGAGAGGGTCGTTCGGGGGAGGTTGACGCGGGTCGTAGGTTCTCGGTCACGAGGAGGGTTGCGTAGGACGCGTTTTGTGGGGTGAAAATCACGTCAGTTGCTGAGTTCGACCTCTCGAATTGATCGGTGAGGCATTCGAGAAAGTCGGTATTGTGTTGGGATGAAGAAGCTCCCAACACTAAAAGGCTTGCCAAAACTAAAGATGTTAGGGTTGTTGTACTAAGTGATGCCATTTCTTAATTAGGGATTTCGTGTTGTGATGATTGGTTGAGGTCAAATTGTTTTATTTATTTATAGATGTTGGAGGGGGGAGGGGGAGGGTGACTTTTCAAAAGCGTGTGCGTGTGTGTGTAGAAATTCATATGTGGGTGACTTTTCAAAAGCGTGTGCGTGTGTGTATAGAAATTCATATGTTTTGAATTAAATACCGCAATTATTGCAAATGTAATATTGACTTCGAATTATGTTAGGTGTAAATATATGTTATACATTAAACAAAAACAGAATATCAAATCTTAAGGAGAGTTGAAAACCACAAAAATTATCTAATCTAATGAAAACTGATGTGGAACATGTAGATTATGAGTTTTGGACAATTGAAAATCGTTCGAAAAAATGAAATCGTAACAAATGTTGTGTCTTTTATTATTTCCAATATATAGTTTTTTATTTTTTTTATATTTTTTTTAAGGTTTGTAGTCTTTATATAAGCCTCCAAAACATTGTTTTGAGAATTATTCAAATATTATATAATTTTAATTGTATATCTTTCTTTCAATTCGTGCTTCTTGTCTCTTCTATGGTTTATAATGGATGCTAAAAACAAGTGTCATGTTATACAAATATAACGGTTAACATAAATAAATTTTGACATAATACATACGTGAAGATTTTATAATTTTATACATCACTTGATCTTTAAAACCAACAACTCAGAATATATACAAATTATTATATGATATATCACATCTATAATAACAACTCAAGATATATACAAATTATTATGTCAACCACTGTCTCCAAATTACTGTCTCTAACATAAAGCATCATTCTATAAACAAATGCTTTAAATGGCATCCAATGGCAATATAAAATGATGGTGTGGATAGCGAGACCTCATAATATATTTTAAGAAGAGTATTATATTATGTAGATCTACACTCCTGTAAAATACATGTTTTGTTAATTCCAATTTTGAACCTAAAAGTAAAAGTTGAAAAGTTTTATCTTGATATATACGAGATTTGATTTTGCTACGAAGCCAATAGTTGGCTCCAATATACAACAAATAAATTTACAATATTAATAAAATTATATTAGTGTTATTTAAATAATCAGAGAATATGATAAGTTTATTTGTTATATATAGAAGATTGACTCCATTATGGAGCCAACTGTTGAGTGGACCTTCTTCTTCATAATAATATTATTATTATTATTATTATTATTATTATTATTATTATTATTATTATTATTTATCGGTCCTCGTCCGCCAAAGAGAAAAAGGGAAAACTAAAAAGGGGAAACGAACTCTCACATTCATTAATAATATATATATATAAAAAGAAAAAAGAAAAACTGGCAATCTATATATATATAATTGCTGGCTAATCAATTAATTTTACCTCATAAATAAAACCTATTTAATTTTACCTAGCTGGCACTACCCACATTTTCCCCCCAAAATCGGTTACAAATGACTTATTTTTCCTGCTTTAATTACCTTCTTATAATCAAAACTGAAAGGATTCTGTATTGAGAGAGGGTTTTGTACGTATTAATTGAGTAATGTATTTTTTGTTACTTTATTTTCGCTCCAAAATCGAATTTTTCGTTTCAGTTTTAGTTGACTGCATGATTTGCATTTAAACGTAATTTTTGTCAAAAATATAAAACGATTACTAATTCCTAAAATTTATAATTACTCAATACACAAAACTTAAATTACATATCAAATTAACATCCAGCAATAAAACAATTTAACATTCCAGTGTCTTTGTTATTAATTCTGCCTGCAAAATAGAAAAAGAAAATACATCAATAATTATAAAACTAATGATATCAATTAATTTATATTACATAAATAAAAATGAACAATTTAGCCCTATAGGAACATAATCTCTCATAAACTCAGTCAATATAGATAGACATATAAAAAAATTATTTACGAAATTACAGCAGTCAATGTGAAATTAATTATGAAATTAATTAAAATGCATATTCACATTCGTTTGTTGGGGGTGTGGGGGGTAATACACACGGTTAAAAATTCAGGTTCAATTTTTGGTTAGCATGAATCATGGAATTTGATGTTTTAATGAATAATATACACAATAATACACTCATTAATCATGAATTTGGTGCAATTTAATAATTTTGACTAAATACAATATACACAACAATTTTCCAGCAACAATCATGGAAATTAATTTTCATAATTCCACCTATAAATACCGTACCATTTTGTTCAATTTGTGCACCATCACATTCGAATTAATCTTTGAAATATCTCACAAATACTCTCTAATCTCCAAATGGCTACTTATTTTGATAATCTTACTTTTCTTGCAAAGAACAAGAACAAAACAGCCATTTTGAGATTGATTCGTTTTTATCCAAAAAAAAAGAATCAAGCCTAAAGTTTGTTTTTCATGATGTCAAGGTTTTTTACTTTTTTTTACATATATTCAATTTTTCATTACATTTTTTTTATGGTTCAGTCCATAAATTTTATTTTTTTGTGTATAGGGCGAACGCATTCATGCTTCAGCACCCGACAGCTTGGCATCAGATTTTGAACTGTGCATAAATGGCGAAGGGAATACATTTGGGATAAGAATTTCAGGGTGGAAGTCGACCTTTACACGTACAAGACTACTCCAAAAAATGACAAGCTGGTGTTTGATGAACACACAGAAATTAAGGAGATTTTTTACGAAGACTACCCTCGATTCATGTTCAATTTCAAGGATTTCGGTGATTTATGCGATCCAGCAAGTATTGACTCATCAAGGCTTATTGGTAATTTTACTATAGTTTTAAAATTTATATAACTACATTTTTTATATTATACTTTTTATAATCAATCATTGCTTATTGAATTGTAGATGTCATTGGTCGAGTTGTTTACTATCAGAGTGTACAAACAGCAATTTCAGCGGGTGTTGAAAAGAGATATATAGATGTTCTTCTTGAAGATATTGGGTAAGTGTAAATTATTCCTATACTAATATAAATTTTCAAGATGTAAATAATGTTCTAATTTTTATTTTTTTTTTTCTATTGTGATTATATAGAGGCTGCCAATTAGTTTGCACCTTATGGGAAGATTATGTTGATGTTTTACTTGAGGCATTCAAGAACCCTTTGACATCCACAGTCAAAATTGTAATCATTCAAATGTGCCGAGCAAAAGCGATGCATGATGGTAAATATCTAATTAATTATTAATGTTTCTATTATTTTTCTGTACATTTATATTATAATAATATTAATGTAAATATCTAATTAATTATTAATGTTTCTATTATTTTTCTGTACATTTATATTATAATAATATTAATGTAAATATCTAATTAATTATTAATGTTTCTATTATTTTTCTGTACATTTATATTATAATAATATTAATGACTTCTTTTAGGCTCTGTGAGAATTGCAAACGCCTGTGATGCAACGAAGATGATTTCTCAATGTGATCTACCCGAGATAATAGAATTCAAAGAGAGGTGATTAATTTAAGAGTTTAAAAACAAATCATTTATTTGATTTATGTTTTTTTTACTTGTTTTTTTCTTTTTTGTTTACTTAAGGTACATCTCCTACAAACGCCCAACCGAATCATCAATGGAATATGTTAAATCATTCATGTCAAGCGTATGTGATGATTTGCAGTCCGGTTTGGCTCCAATGAGAACTATTTCTGTATTTAATGCTTTAGAAGAGGTAACCATGTACAAACTTTGGATTTTTTTATTAAATATATGCAACACATAATGTCAAGCATATAATAATTTTTGGTGGTTCAATTTTTTTCAGGCGAATGTGTCTTGGATTTATGGCACAATTCTTGAAGTTGACGGTAATTGGTTTTTCAACTCCTGTCCGACATGTGTTAGAAAGGTCGAACGAAAAGGGGAAAATTTTTTGTGCAACAATTGCAAAGATGAAATACCCTTTGCAATTCTTCGGTATGCATACATTCATAATAAGTAATTAATCATTTGTTGCTTTTATTAAACTATAGATTTTTAGAATTTAATTTACACATTTATTAGGTACAAATTGCACTTAACAATTTTTGATGAAACCGGAGTAATTCGAGTTCTTTGCTGGGACAAAGTAGCAAGAGAACTAATTGGAATGTCATGTGAAGAAGTTGTTACAGATATGTTGAAGGTATGGATAATAATATACTATAAAATTTATTTTTATTTAATGTCAAAGAGTACTTAGTCTTAACATTATCAATATTATATTATTTTTTTATTTTCATAACTGCAGCATGAAGACGGGTCAGATTTGCCGCCGGATCTGGAGAATTTGATTTTCAAAGACCTTTTGTTCAAGGTTGGAAAGAAGGAGGGTCAATTAGGATTGTACAACGGAGCTTTCACTGTCTCGAGAATCACAACTGATCCAATTTTAGTGCACAGATTTGGTGTTTTAACAAATCTTCCACAGGTTGATGTTATTTTATATATATTATGTTTTAAAGAATAATAAAATCATATTATTTTATATAGATTATGTTTTAAGGAAAAATGAATATCATATCCATATATATTGAAAAAGAGAGGTCAATAAGTCATTTGTGGAAACTTTTAAAAAATAATGAGTCAACCGTATTGACTTACTATTATAAGTAATATTCTAAAACACACATGTGATAATGATTTTAAAAAAATTTGGTAATTAGTTAGGATATGATAGTGATATTGTTTTATCCTTTTTTTATTTTGGAAACATCTTTGATAATCTGTTCAAATTTTTTTGCCTTTTTTTAACAACTTTAACAACCTACACAAATTTTTTTAACAACTTTGACGATTATTATGCTAATTAACCAAATCTAATTTATTAACTCCTAATTAAGTAAGAAGATAATTAAGTATTAAAGAAAATAAGTTGGTTGATTTTATCTATTGTTCTATTAGTTTGGATTGAGTTGTTCGTATTAATTTATCACACCAAAACTATAAATCTTTGAAAACCCGACAATTAGGTTGTTAAA